ACACAAGCTATTGCCTCAGTCAGCACACCACCTTAGTCACTTCCTCTGTACTCATCAAGCCTTTTATTTGCTTCCTTTAAAAAAAAAAAAAAAATCCAATGGAAGGAGATGATCAAAAGGAGTTGCAGCTGCTTCCTTCTCCTCACCTGATCACCTCTTCTTCATCACAGAGGACATCTCGACCGTCGGATTCATCGATAAGATATCACCGGTCATCGAAGGCAGCGGTGCAGGATGCATTATTGGAAGGGCCTAATTCCCTTGACCTGCAACTGTCAATCAGTGTGAGGCCAATAAGGGCAGCTTCTTCCTCAGATCGTTGTGTTGTGTCAAAACCAGTCTGTGATTTTGATGTCTTGAAGCCCAAGACAGCTGGTTGTGTGGAGGCCTTGAAATGGCAAGCAGCTGAGCAAATCAGATTGGCTGCAATGGAAAAGGCCTATGCAGAGAGAGTGAGGGAGCTGACAAGGAGAGAGATGGAATTGGCTCAGTCAGAGTTCACACGTGCAAGGCACATGTGGGAGAGGGCTAGAGAAGAAGTGGAGAAAGCTGAGAGAATGAAGGAGAAGGCAATGCTTCAGATGGACTCTACGTGCATGGAGATCACTTGCCAATCTTGCAGACAAAGGTTTAGGCCTTGAAAAAGGGTCCGTTTGGTTCGCGGATTCGAACAAGATTTTTGTGTATTTCATTCCTCATACTTGAGTATTGGATTGCTGATGAGATTCTTCCTCCATCAAAAACACAAAGAAAATAATGAAATATATTTGATGGATATAATAAAATGTGTGGCATAAGATTTGAACTTAATTTGTGATCTGTGTGATATGAATATGTAATGAGCTTCTGCTTGGTTTATCTGGGAGACTCAAACCAAAAGAGTACATATGCTGCCGCTAAATTTAGCTTATGCATGTTTCTGTTTGTCTTCCAACTCCGTCAAGCTTGAATCTCAATTTTGTATTTTGCGTAGACAACTTGCAGGTTATAAACATGAGGCCCCAAAAATCCCAGATTGATCATCAGAATCAAATCATGCTTGTGATGGTCTAATATAGCTTTCAGTTGGCTTGGCAACAAGTCTTCTGGTGTGTTGACTCACTGATAATAATAAATTAATCATATGTTCGGGAACATTAATTAGAATTTTAAGCTAATTGCATTTCACTGAGCCATTATGACACAAGATTAGGCGAGATTGCATGGAATTCAGAGCAAAGAAAAAGTATGCTAGCTCTGTGATTATTTCTGAGCATATTCAGTCATGGACTTAGTAGCAGTTTCTGAGCATATACAACAAGAAGTTAGCGTGTTGGGTTTTGGGTTTTGGTAGAATAATATATGACACATTGAGAGTACAAGTTACAACTCAGGACTTTTTGAGCAATAATTATTAAACAAAGAGCACTATACATATAGTTCTTCTCCTATGCAGACGTTTGTTATTACCGTGCGGATGTTATTGTAAATAGGAAATGAAGCATGGAGAGGTAGTAGAAAATACATGGCGTATCCCAAGTCCTGGATTTAGGCTAAGTGTGCAAAGATTACAAATTTCTTAACCTCTATAGAAAACCCAAGTGAAGACAGCTTTGGGGTTATGGCATGGTCAAATCTGACGTAAAAAGGGTCAAGTTCAGAACCTTGATGTCGATATAGAAAGGCAAATGAATCAGAACAAAAAGGCAACCAATTTCACCAGCAACAAGACATTGTAGCTGGACATCCACTTGTTTTCAACTTCTTAACTTTTGTTCATGAAACCAAACACCCACTACCCTTGTCTCCGATCCAACACAAAAAGAAACAATTTTTGGATAGGAAGATCATGACCTCTCTCACTAAAAGCTTCTTCAACACCAAAAGCTCAGCTTCATCTGTCAGCAACTTCAACAAATACAATTTAATCAGCCAAAGACATGTATAAATATAAATATATATTTATATATCAACAGGTGCCTACAATAATGCACTGGCTTTTGATTCCTGATGAGGTGAGAGAGCAAGAGCTACCTAGACACATTTTAGTGGGCACAAAGAATCACAAAGTCTCAAAATTTGGTGGTTCTGAAAAGTGCAAAGAAGGCATGGGAAGAAAAAAAAAAAGAAGAAGAAGAAAAAGGGGTAATCTAGATTTGGCTAATTATTTCAAGTCTGATCCTTTATTTGGTTTTCAGAATCTTCCTAAGTGAAGAATCTGATCTAGGATCTGACAGAACACAACCCTTTTGCACTTCTTAACCATTTGGGTTTGCGTATCTCTATATCCAAACATAATTTCACAAAGACAATTATACCATCACTACCCTACTTTTTCACTGAGAGAAACTCGCATACAACTGAGATAACACTTTTTGCTATCCCAAATCAATAACATAATGACATGTCGGATAACTTTTTTACATGTCATTATGTTATTGACCAGGGATAGCAAAAAAGTGAAATCCCTGTTACAAATAAGATTTTTTTCCTTTCACTTGTTCACTGTTTGTCCCTTGAAGGAAAAAAAAAGAAGAATGAAAAAAGATTCCTCTGGGATAAAGTTCTGTTTGCATTGAAGAACCTAAAACAGTCTTTTCTTTTGTGGGTATGAGCATGTCCTAGTGCTAGTGGTTTCATTATCATCCCTTTTAAAAAAAAATTCCTTTGCTGGTTTCTATATTTACTCTTGTGAAAAGGATCAAAATGCAAAGAAAGATACTAATTAAAGAATTGAATGTACTTGTCCTATAGGAACCCAACAGTTGTTATCATGAGATGCTCTGTGCTGCAAAGTTGGATACCAATGATGGAAGTTCATGGCTCTCATCTTCAGGGCATAAGTTAACAAAAAAGAAATGCCTACCATGGCCATGGTGGAGCCTAATTGATTTAATACATCATGTAATAGTTAACATTTGATGATATTATTTTGAGGTACTCTGACAAATGACCACCTACATTATGGGTGATGCCTTGTCTTGGATCTCTTATCTGCAGTACCATCAAGGAAATACCAAATACTACCAAATACCAGGGCCATCAATTCTTTGAGAAATTTGAAGAACAAGGATAAAAGATGTAGGGCATGATGCTTGTTGAACCATCAAACTGGCCATTATGACATTACCTTAACATTTGTCTTTTCATATTGTCCACATATGATGGTCTCTTGATGCCCTCTCTTATTTCTGTGCAGTATGATATGTTAAATCACAACCCTAAAACAAACTTACTCTTATCCCATTACTGTTCTATGGAAGATTTTGTAGCCACCACACCCACGACACGACAAGTTTTTTTAATTAGTGTAGAGTTCGAAAGAGACGCAACACACATCAACGTTTGTCAATTGCTTATTATAGGTGTGCGTGGACGACTAACTCGACTGTTAAAACGCATCGAGTAAGAGTTTCTTGTTTACGACAAAGAAATCTTTTACCGATTCCCCACAGATGAGCAAATAGGGCACTTATCAGAACAAAATGGACTTCACATTCGTACATGTGATAATTTTTATACTGAGTTACACAGATTGTGCAGTATATCATGGTCCACAGAATTGACTGTTTTTTTTTATTTACGATGTGCAGAAGTGAATCAAAATCAAATTCAGAACCAACCATCATTTATTTAACTGAGAGTTTGCAAAAGATTTGGCAGGGTGTGGTTTGGAGGTACACTATTTGCAACTAAGAGGAGACAAGAGAGGGTGGAGTTCATAGTCACATGCAGCATTTCCATTTCATTTCAGTTGGCTTTTAGGATTTGTGGCATAACTATACAGAGATAAATCTGTGAGTGTGAGTTTTCCAAAAACAATAGGTTAACAAAAGAGAAATATACATTGAATTCAACAAGAGTGTTCAGTCAAGTCATCTCCAGAGACCAATCAAGAAAAAAGGCAGCTAACTTTTGAAGGTGGGGAAAGTTTTTAGATGATCATGTGGTGATGGTGGGGTTCAAATTGTTGCAGTCACACTATGTGGAAATGTGAATCACAAACCATAGCATCTGAACTGGACTGTTTATATACCCTACCAGAGAAATCTGAAAATTTTCTTACCAGGCAGTAACAGAAGGATGCAGTCAAAAGCAATTTGATGGGACAATGTGTTTTACAGCAATAAGCTGGAAATTTTACTTGAAGTTGCGCAGACCAATCGATGCACTAGTTGATATTCTACTGCAAAGTGTGTGACAGCTCTTGAGTTTTAAAAGTTTGGCATTAATCTGAACAGGAATTCTTTGTCACAAAGGACCGACGTGCATCGATATTGTCGATAACATGTTAGTACGTTTTGTTATTTCACGATCAACATTTAAAAAGTCTCATTTATCATATAAGCTTTAAGCTTCAAGCTTTGTTTAGTGAATTTTTTTGAGATTTTCTATTTAAACCCCGCACTTCTCTTTGTTCACCCCAATACTTAAATAATTAAGCTGTAAGTTTTATTATTGTATAAAAAGACAAAAAAGGTTATCCAACTTAATAATTAACCATAGTACATCTATACACACACCCCCATACACCCCACCACTCTTTATATTAAGTTTTAAAAACCTCCTTCCAACTTTATGTTTACAAACTCTCTCTCTCTCTCTCTCTCTCTCTCTCTCTCAACTCAAAAATACCCAAGTGTCAGAATTCCAGTTACAGTTCTTGGAGAGAGGTAAAGTTGTTATCTTTCTCTAGAAAATATTAAATTTCAGATTTGTGGTTTCATTTGTTTGTGTTTTTTTTTTGCTGAGAACAAAGAAAATTGTGGGATTTAAATAAAAAATCTCTTTTAGTTTTTATTTTTTTAGTTTGGGGTGTATTTAAGGGTAGTTTGGGAAGATAGTGGGGTTTTCTTAGAAATTGTGAAAATTTAAATTAAAAGTTGAGGTGAACTTAGAACATGAGGTGAACTAAGAGAAGTGTGGGGTTTAAATAGAAAATCTCATTTTTTTTTGGGTCTATAAGTGAAGTCACAGTTAAGCCTTTAAACAGTTGGACCAAAAAAAAAAAGGAACAAATTACGGACCCGTTACTCCAGATAGCGTTTTCTATCACGGCTTCACTGTTGCAAGATTTGCTGGATCGTTCGGAACAAAAAGAGAAAACGCAAAAGCAGGTGTACCGGCTGTTACACGTTTGCCTCCAAATTCCAAACAAATAGAGGGAGAGAGAGAAGCTGTGTCCATACGGCAGTGGAGGAGGGACGATCACAGGTACCCTAACCCTAAAACAAAACCAATCGAAAGATGCCGGAGAAGAAGAAGAAGAAGAGGTACGAATTCGAGTACTGCGTGGTTTGCAAGCTGAATCACGACCAAGGCCCGAGCCACAAGTACATACCGAGCCATACCAAGTCCCTCTCTACCTTCCTCTCTCGGTTCCAGGACAAGCTCTCCGACGTCCGCTTCTTTCTCAAAAACCCTACCCCTCTCCGCCCCGAACTCGCCTCTCGCAATCGCCTCTGGTGCGTCTTCTGCGACACCGACATTGACGAGCTAGATAGCTCCTTCGCTTGGTAAGATTTCTATCGCCATGCTTGAATTAGCTTTTCGACTTCTGTTTGTTTGCTGAGAAAACAGAGGAAAATAATGGAACATGTGGAGAATTGCTGTGCAATTTGTATTATTTAGAGCTACCAAATCGTGCATTGTGATATAAATGACTTTGGCCTTACACTTTATTGGTGTTCTTGATTATCAGTGGTAATGCAATTAATCACCTTGCAAGTGCGGAACATCTGAAGAATTTGAAGCATTTTTTGTGGAAATATGGTGGAGGAATGGATCGCCTTGATACATTTAGAATATCGGAAGATGACCTTGCTATGGTATGTTTATATAGTATATATGCTTTCAGTTTCATTCATCATTTATGTCATATGAGGCAGTGGGAGTGAACAGAAAGATTGTAGAATTCTAAAGATTGTAGAATTCTGTAGATTTGTGTTTTCATGTGATTTGTTGAAGAAAGATGGTAGAATAATGAATCTTATAGTTCCAAAGAAGAGAGTAAACAGAAATTCAAGTCAGTTTTTAGAGTCGAGTCATTAAACGTATGGTTATTATCCCTTTGTGGCTGCAGTGGGAGAAGAAGTGCAAATCATTGAAGAATGAAGCTGTGCCCTGCGGAGAAAAATCTCGAGGACCAACGTTTGGACCTTCAAATGATATCCATAATGAACTGAAATATGGAATTATAGATACTTTTGAAAATAATAGTAATTCAAGTTTTTCAAATGGTGTTATGCCTTTACTATATCATACAAATGAGCATCAGGTATCCCATTCAGGACCCCCTCAAGTTACAAATGTTGGCTGCTTTCCTCAAGACATGGCTACCTCTTCTTTACACGGGGAAACATGTTCTGGTACATATTCCATAAATTCAAAAGGTTTAACAGGTATGCACGTTCTGTTTATATGATATTTGTATCCATTTGGTTTGTATTTCATAGAAGTTGCTCCCCTGTAGTTAAAGGCTTATGCTAGTTTTATGATTTCTGCTGTCTGCTTACATCATGACTCAGTTAGCAGCAGTACCCAACATTCTTTTATTTCTAATGGTAGAAAGTGCTCAGCTGATGGTTATTTCAGTAATGAAAGGGTAAGTTTGGTCATATACACTCTTCACTAAAAGCATCCGTTTCTTGTGGTTGTACTTAAATGGTTGGCTATAACATTGGAAAATTCCAAATATGTAATTTGTTTGGTGTAGATGAGCGAGGTGTATCAGCATGAAAGAATGACAAAAGGACTGAGCAGTTCTCCGGGTATTAACCTTCAATTTTTTTGATGTTCTTATTCTCAATGCTCCTATTAAGCTGATCATACTGATGCCAAATGTATACGTCATTTGAGAAGTGAGCCATCTGTTCTTAGGAATTGCAGAAAAATTTATATACATCTGTATCGACTCAATGGCTTAGCGCAGGAGGTTGATAGAGTTATGATTTATTTATTATAGCTGTGCATCCTCATTTAAGGTTCTTTTCTTCAGGTTTTCAGAATCTCACACAAATATCTTCCACGGGTTCTAAAGAGGCTAGTGGAAATGTGCATTCTGGGGCACCTCCTCCTTGGCTTGAAGCAGATGAAGAAATTCAGTTTACTGTTCCATTGAAACCAGCTTCAGGTACCCGTATCTCTCCGTCAAATAAGTCGGGGAAGTCCAAGAAATTGAACCCAAAACGAGTGGGAGCAGCTTGGGCAGAAAGAAGAAAGAGGGAGATGGAGATGGAGAAAAGAGGGGAGATTGTCAAGAGTGACTGTGATGCTAATTGGCTCCCTAATTTTGGTAGAGTGTGGCAATCTGGTAGCCGAAAAGAGTCCAGAAAAGAATTTGAGTTGGAGAAACAAAAATTGCCTAAGGTTGAAAGTGAATTTGAGATGCCAATTAAGATACAGCCTTATGTCAGCAAACGGATGGTGAGTTCCATGTTCCCTCTTACTATGTCAGTTTGTTGTAGATTTCAAGATTTTTAAAGCTAGTTATGATAGATGGAAAAATATCTTTATTTAATGTTGTGATACAACATGCATGGTTCTCAATACACGGATGCTATGACAGTCCCGTTTGAATTTCACTAGACCATGCAGCAAACTGATGTGAGGCTTTCATTTTATTGTTTTTGTAAATAAAATCCATAAACTTATGCAGACACATTTCAAGAATTACCAAGGCTTAGGCATTTTTTATTGTGTCCCTCTTCATGCAGCGAACAAATGAGAGTGAATGATTGTGCCATGATGGTTATGCAAGTTGATGATAGCTCTGATGACAGCTGAGCTGGAATTTTGAAGGAAGGCAGGAAGCAAACACGTGAAACTCTGCCCAAAATTGGATGATCAGTTTTTAGGCTGGTGTACAAAATAGAGTTGTAAGTTCAAATGATCATGGCACTCAAATGTATTCAACTTGAATTTTTCTCCATCAAATATATTCAACCTGAAACTTTATCCCCATATGTTATGCATGTGGCAAATGAGGTCTTATTTTGGTGACATCAATGGTTAGATCCTTCAATAATTATTTCACGTTGAAACACTGTGTCAATAGTCTGGAATTTCTTTAACTGCAAAAACTATGTCAGCCATGACTGTGACACCATTAATAGAATTGAGACATTTCGACCTAAAAAGAAAAAGAAAAAGAAAAAAGAAATGACATTGTTAGGCACTGGATATTCGCTCGCAAATAATGATTCTTATTTACAAAGAAAATAAAGAGGAACAAGTGATGGGAATATTTTTTACAAGGACTCTGTACCCTAGGAGAAAGAAAAAGAGCTCCTATTTTTTTATGGCTGCAATCTCACAATCTGAAATAACTGTTTTTCTGTCTGCCATGTTGAGCTGGTTCAGGAAGAACCGTATGGCATCCGGTTTTCCTACTTTTACCATTGCTCTGTTGAAACTATCAATAATGAAAGGAGCTTGTTCTTTCTACTTACACCTCATGGGGGAAAAATAAAATAATAGTAACAATATAAGCTATATTATATTACTCTATCGTAATGGTTTTGGCAGGGCAAAAATTTGTAGAGTTTGATTGGCCTGTGATCCTAAAGTTCCATAATCTCCCTTTCGAAGAAATTAAGTTCTCATCACACAGAAACTCCCAGGAAAACCACTTCTCAATCGTTCGATCTACATCATGCACTACCACATCTGTAATTTTCCCATTTCTTGCCATCATACTAGCAGTATAGATTGCTGCCATCCTACCCGGTTCGTCTGGTGTACTGCCGCTTGGTCCGTCCACCACCACCACATCCCATTTAAGCTCATAAACTTCTTGTGGTAAGTTTTTCAATGCAAGTTGACATTTGGATAGTTGGAGTTTTGAGCTAGGTGCACAATCTGGGTTTTCCCTTGCATGCTTGAGCAGTTTGTAAGCCTCTTTTGCAGGTATCTGGTAGTCCACCTGGTAGACTCTGGTGGTGTTGGAATTAGTCTTCAGTGTGCTTATCTTGTTGTGATCGTCCTCTAGAAAGATGGTGGTGCCACCTGCATTGATTGATGAGAGAGATACATACTGAGGATCAATCCCGAAAATGAGGAGGTTGCAGGGAGTTTTCTGCGAAATGAGATTTGACAGAAGGCGGTATTCCTTTTCCCTGAGGCCGGTGACGTTGGCAGGCACCTTTTTTTCTGATGGAAACTTGGAGCATGTGGAGAGAGGAGAACATGCATCTCTAAGAGCAGTAGGAGGCAAGGCAGTCAAGGCAGGAAATGGGGGGGAAGAAGATGAAGTTGTTACTGCAATTCTAAGAAGTCTGAGTACAGAAATGATTGAAAGGATCAAAACAAGGAAAGGGATGAGTTTCTTTCTGCTAAAGTTCATGTTTTTAGATCCTCTGCAGTGCTTGTGCTGATAAGGTTGATCTAGTGGTGCCTTAGGTGACACCGGGGAAGAGAATCGAACTTGAGGAGTTACAGGAGAGCGACAATGAGGCACTTCTGGGGGCATTTTTTGGTGTTTCTCTTTGCTTTCAGGACCTCCACAGCCAGCCACTATCATATCCTCAGTGTAGGTATCTGTGGTGGGGCTCTTGATAATATAAGCTGTTATGCTGAAAGTCTACTTGGTTGTATCTTCTTGAGTGAGGAAGAAGGAAGGCTTTGCTTTTGTTCCAAGCGTTGCTTTTCTTATATCCAGGTGTGTGTTTGTTACCTAATGAAATATTGCATTCCGAGATCGATCTGCTATTCGCTTACCTAAGAAAAAGAATAACAACAATAAAGGGTTGGTGTTCCAATAATTTATTTACAACTTTATAAAGAAAATTATTTTTTTAAAAGAAAAAAATAAACTAAACTTTCACTGTTGGATTGTTTGGTAATTATGAGTGAAGTTGAAGGAGGTTAGCTAATGTGTGGTTGTTGGGCCACTTTCAAGCTTCAATCATATGACCTTTTTTGTTAGTTATATAATATTTCCCGTTTGATTGCTGGTTTTGATGGCTAGTAGACATTGATGCATAAGGTTTTTGCATGCCAAATGATTTGCTGTTTTACAATCCTTTTGGGGCAGCAATCTTTAGGGAACTATATTATATAATTAAACTCCCCATAAGATATAGGAAACATCCAATGAATCAAATGTGCCCCTCAATTTGGAAAAGTAGTCACAAAAATGAAGCTCAAGGGGATCAAATTTGGGGTTGTTGACCCAGCCCATCAAATTTGAACATTAAACCCTAGTCGGAAACCTAGAAAAGAGGTCAGTCAGGGAACGGGGTTGCCTCGTTTCGGGGTTATATTGTTGAATGTTTTTTTTATAAAAAGAACAAATAAAACTTTGGTTAAAAGCGGCATATGGATGAGGTCTCAATTATGGAAAACTAAACAAGTTGATGTATCACAGTTTTACATATGTTTGGGCAAAAAGAAGCATCATAATTTTACTGAACTAAGGCAAAGAAGAGCCCAACCAAATGAGAAGTAAACTAAAATACTATTGCTTTCTCTTTGAGTACAAGTTGCTGCCTGCCTCCATGATCTAGTCAACTCAGAACCTTAAGCATGACCTGAAACTAGATTGGACAAATAAAATAAATCAGTCCCAAATTACACCATATTAATCTAGAAAATCCGTCTTGAAAAAACCCATCATCTAATGGAGTGGAAGTATCACCGGCTGACGTAATGGTACAGTACCACTCTATAGACGTAGTGGTACAGTACCACCCTATCATTTCTCCATCTAATGACAATCAGCAAAATTACACAAATCGATAAACACACTAAGAGCATCCACAGTGGAGGGTGTATGTTAAATATACACCCCGAATCACCGGAATCGTCTCCAATGGGGAGATGTATGAAACGACCCGACCCAAATTCCACTTTGAAATCCGGGCCGAATTCTGTTTAAAACTGACACCTGGTGGGTGTGGGTGATAAATGACCAAAATGCCCTAAAAACAATAACACAAACCCTGAGGCCCTAACTCGTGGCTGCGCCTGATAACTGTAGGCTGCCTACGTACTCTTACTGAGGGATCAAGCCACACGTAGTTCTTTCCTTTGTTCCTGATCTGCAACTGGTTCGTTTATCTGTAACTGGTTTACTTACTGTAAAACTCACTCTAGGGCTGACATTTCTGGAGTATCCGGGGCTCCGTTTTACGATCCGTGCTATATGATCCTGGCCAAGTCTAGATTACCATATATGAAAATAATTACGATCCAACGGTTCGAAACTATTGAACCCGGAAATCATACAATATGCGAGATCCGTTCGGGGTTCAAACGTTAACCAAATTGAGATCCGCGAATTCCTACGCGCTTGTGACGACCCAAGGATCATTCTAGAACTGAAAGTGGTCTCTACTAATTTGCCCACGCGCCGCCACACGCGCCGGCAACGCGTGAGTGGCTTGATCAATTCCTGGCGGTCGGAAAAACTCCAAACCACCGGCCCAAACTCCTAACTTAGGTAAAATACCCCATTTGGAACAACTTTTGTTCTTGGATATACCCCAAAAACTGGCCGGAAGTGGCCGAAGCAGTGACCCGAAAATCTGCTGAAACCTAACTTAAACAATCGAATGATCTACGCTTGAAATATCTGAAATCCTACCCAACCAACAGCTAGAGCATGAAAAATAGCTAGAAAACCATACCTCACTCGTCCGATTTGGTGGCCAGAGGTGTCCGAATGAGCTCCGTGAAATTCCATCAAAAATTGTCCAAACCGTCCTGTTTCGTGGTGGTTTCCAGCGACCACGACGGCGGATCGAGGCTGGGATGTGCTGAGACTGAAAAAGGGGAGTGAGGCTGTTCGTTTGGCACCGGTCTTGCTCGAATTGGTGCTCGGAGCTGAGAGAAATCCTCTCCTAAAGTCGGCTAGTCCAGTTGCCGACATAGGAGAAATATGGGTTTTTAAGAACTCAACTTTGAAATATTTACGGTTATGCCACTGAACTTCTTTTGATCGTAACTCCTTCGTTACAACTCCGATTCGAGTCCACTACGTGTCTACGGACTCGTTTCGTCGCGCTCTACGCAACGGTACAACTGAAATCCCCAAATTCCTTCCCGATCAAAAAGTCAACTTTTAAACTAATAAAATATTCTAAAGATATAATGATCTTTTACTGGAATAAATTAATAATTAAATATTAATTAAGGACCGAGTTGTTACAATATACATATATATATATGTATTTACTTATGGACTTTATTTATTTTAGTTTAGTTTGCTTTAATTTATCTTAGTTTACTTTATTTAAGTTGTTTTATTTTATTTCATGTAAGTTGTTGGCTTTCATATTTTACTATTAGATATGGTATTAAACAGTTCCAGTATTTCTAGCATATTTTGCCCCGCGAGTCTTACAGTTATACGGACCGTGGGAGCCAGAATTGCGAATCAGGTTGACCAGATGTCTCATGAGTCCAGCAAGGATTACAGAGCAAGATGAACTATATATTCAATGTTTTTCAGCAAGATTACTGCTTAGTAAGTTGTGTATAATCAGGAATGCATGAGTTCAGTACCTTACTATATGCTTTTAAACATTTTAAATTTCATGCTGCTGAGCTAGATTACCAGAATATTATTGCTGAGCTGAAAGTTGAGATTGATTAGCAGATTGATTTATTTGGTTTGTTACGACCTGAGACCTGAATATTATGATGTTTGATTGCTTGGATATGATTTAATGCATGCTAGCAGATGAGTTATATAAATATACATGCTTGTTTTACAGGTGTAATATTTTTTGGGAATGTTCAGTTTACAGGAGAGACTCTGCTGAATTTTCGGTAGAAGTCGCACTTGAAATTTAGTTAATTTCAGTTAAAAATGGCAAATTAGTCTTTTGTGCCCAATATTAGCCAGGTGTCAGACACTTCTAGGAAAAAAAGGATTTTAGTTAAATATCAGATTAATGGCAGTAGAGTTTTAAGTTTATCAGAAATTCAGTTAATTAACAGATCTTTTCAGAGTTTTATATTTCCTTAAGCCAGCTCAGGTATTCAGATATAAATGTGTGGCCTTCAGATTTTATTGATTGCCTTATAAATACCGTTGTTGAGATGCAAGTGGTGAGTGCAGTATTAGAATAGCAGACTTGAGAACCCGAGTAGCAGTCGTGGGCCTAGTACCCTCACCCCTCAAGTGAAGGTTAAGTAAATTTCGAGGACGAAATTTTTATAAGGGGGGTAGATTGTAACAACCCGCTCCTTAATTAATATTTAATTATTAATTTATTCCAATAAAAGACCATTATACCCTTAGAATATTTTGACCGGGAAGGAATTTGGGAATTTCAGTTGTACTGTTGCATAGAGCGCAACGAAACGAGTTCGTAGATACGTAGTGGACTCGAATCGGAGTTGTAACGAAGGAGTTACGATCAAAAGAAGTTCAGTGGCATAACCGTAAATATTTCGAAGTTGAGTTCTTAAAAACCCAAATTTCTCCTATGTCGGCAACTGGACCAGCCGACTTTAGGAGAGGATTTCTCTCAGCTCCGAGCACCAATTCGAGCAAGACCGGTGCCAAACGAACCACCTCACTCCCCTCTTTCAGTCTCAGCCCATCCCAGCCTCGATCCGTCGTCGTGTTTGCTGGAAACCGCCACGAAACAGGGCGGTTTGGACAGTTTTTGATGAAATTTCACGGAGCTCGTTCGGACACCTCTGGCCACCAAATTGAACGAGTGAGGTATAGCTAGGGCGGTTTGGACAGTTTTTGATGGAATTTTACGGAGCTCGTTCGGACACCTCTAGCCACCAAATCGGACGAGTGAGGGTTTTCTAGCTATTTCCCATGCTCTAGCTGCTGGTTGGGTAGGATTTCAGATATTTCAAGCATAGATCATTCGATTGTTTAAGTTAGGTTTTAGCAGATTTTCGGGTCACTGTTTCGGCCACTTCCGGCCAGTTTTTGGGGTATGTCCAAGAACAAAAGTTGTTCCAAATGGGGTATTTTACCTGAATTAGGAGTTTGGGCTGGTAGTTTGGAGTTTTTCCGACCGCCAAGAATTGATCAAGCTTCCCATACGCTGCCGGCGCGTGTGGCGGCGCGTGGGCAAATTGGTAGAGACCATTTTCAGTTCTAGAATGATCCTTGGGTCGTCACGAGCTCGTAGGAATTCGCGGATCTCAATTTGGTTAACGTTTGAACCCCGAACGGATCTCGCATATTGTATGATTTCCGGGTTCAATAGTTTCGAACCGTTGTATCGTAACTATTTTCAGATATGGTAATCTAGACTTGGCCAGGATCGAATAGCAGTTGACGGATCGTAAAACGGTGTCCCGGATACTCCAGGAATGTCAGCCCTAGAGCGAGTTTTACAGTAAGTAAATCAGTTACAGATAAACAAACCAGTTGCAGATCAGAAACAGAAGAAAGAACTACGTGTGGCTTGATCCCTCAGTAAGGGTACGTAGGCAGCCTACAGTAATCAGGCACAACCACGAGTTAGGGCCTCAGGGTTTGTGTTATTGTTTTTTGGGCATTTTGGTCATTTATCACCCACACCCACCAGGTGTCAGTTTTAAACAGGATTCGGTCCGGATTTCAAAATGGAATTTGGATCGGGTCGTTTCATGTAAATGGATGTAAATATACATCACCACCATAGAGATGTAAAATAAAATGTATATTTACATCTATTTTTACATCCTTGCAGGCGGGACCCACCCGAGAAAAGAGAAGAAAAATGAAGAAAAGTTAACATAAAAGGTTGAGACCCACGGTTACACCTCCCATTGGAGCAAAAAATATATTTACACCCCATGAATTTACATCCCCCATTGTGGATGCTCTAAACATGAAACTAAGAAAGAAAAAAAAAAAAAAAAAAAAAAAAAAAAAAAAAAAAGGTAGTGGGATAACAAGTGTGATTAGATTTATAATATCTGAGTAGGCTGTTCTGGTTTTCGTATCCAACTTCTAGATCTTATACAGCAATATCAACAAAGTAAACTCAGCTAAATTCTCAACCAAACCAGAAGCATGCAAATTAAAGCCACTAAATTTAAACTTAATTGCATTGATCAGACGGAAATTGAGATGTAATTGAATGAATACCTAAACAGAGCCGACGATGATGTTGTTGATGGGGATGAAGACCAGCTTCACGAAAAACCCAACGAATCCCATTGCTACGAACCCGATGGCTGTACGGATCGCCACCTTCGTGAACCTGCACCGAAATCAACCATTAAGTACACATAAATTAGAGAATTAAAATCCCCAATTTTTGTTAAAATTTGATCCAGAACAGATCCGAATGTTATATGTAGATTCTTAATTGGTTACCTTTGCGATCAGGCTTGTGGCACCTCTTCAACAGTCGAGTGCTTTCCTTTGCGAACACTCTGAGAGGATCGACGACTGAGTCTATGGCTTCAATTTTCTCTGAAGACCAAATTGAGAAACAGAGAGAGAGAGGTGTATGAGAAAGGAAACGAGTAGTTGGGCGCGTTAGGACTTTTAACTAACAGGCGGATTTTTCAGACCAAAAGAAGAAAAAAACCTGACGAGAGGAATTTATTTATTTTTGTCAACGTTTAGGCGTTCTTCAACCCATTTGGTCATCTCAAATTTCCCTACTCCAAAAAGTAACTATTTTATTTTGCCATACTAAACTCTAAATTCAAAATTTAAGTCTGTAACTTTATTACATTATTTAAGAATGGTTTAAGTCTAAATTTTTTTTTCATTGATAACTTTTCTTCATTTAACTTTTTAAATAACTTTATAATTTAATTTTTTAAACAATTTGATAATAAAAAAAATTGAAAATCCATAAATATAATTTTATTTGAGAAATGAGTTGGTATTTATAGAGTTTAGAGTGAGTTTTGGGGTTGGATATGATTTAGATTAATTTAAAATAAATTTTTGACTTTTGAATTTAAAGTTCAGCTATTGGATCTTTTTCTTTACCGTTAAAATAGCTTGGATTTAATATGAATAGTTGATTTGGGTTATTGTTGGAATTTTTTTTTTTTAAAAGGAGTTGTTTGAATTGTGCCGTTGGATTCTAATGGCAACATCATCAACTTCCGACACCTGGTGCGACAACATCTGCAGCACAATAGCCGCTGGCCTTACTTTTTTTTGGGTTGGGAGAAGAATTGGGCTAAAATTTAGGACTTTTTGAGTTTGGCCTGCTGAGTTGGAATGGCCTAAGGAAGGGGAGGGGGTAAAACTCTCACACACAAGACCACTTGGGAGAATACCAAAGTTGTGGGACAAGGAAAATCCCATTTTGTCATTTGTATGTGTATTTTTATGAATTTATTTCCGTTTTATCTTACAAAATTTTTTGATTTTAAAAATTATTTGCCCATATGTCAATGGAATGACAGAGCAGAGTAGCCCTAATGCTAATGTTGAGAGTGAGTGGAAAGTCGAATTCGGATTAAGCCAAATCAAGATTCTGATTCCCATCCATTCTAATAAAGGAAAAGTATTTCATCATATCTTTAGAGTTTTAAACAATTTCAAAAGGAAATATTAAAATTGTGTAGAAAAGATAACAAATTATTATATTTAGACAGATGGCGGGCTGTGATAAAAAAGAACTAATATTCCCACATGTATAATATAGTTTAAGGCCTTGGTTTTCTAAAACTTGGTGACACTTGTGACTCAAAATCCATGTTCATCAGAGAGGGTTTGGTCATCGGTGACGATTAAGAGCACCAACATTCAGAAGTTCCATAAGCAACCAAAAAGAAAGAAGAGGGAAAAGAAAAGAGGAACAGAAATCACAAAACATACTAAAAACTACCAGGTTTGATTAATATGAAATGACCACAATCATTCCAGTTAGCAACACAAGGACCTAAATTATAAAGACTGCACATTCAATATTAAACACAGCAGTGATTTTCCAGCTGCTCTCGATCAATAGTCTTAACAGGTCTAAGTCATCCTCATAAGAAAAAAAAAATTTAATTCAAGCAATCAAAAATCATCTGCAAAGCTCAATATCTTTCCTTCGCGCCACGCAGCATGTCATCAGCAAATTAATCTCTTTAACTACATAGAAAAATTGGGAAAAAAACAAGTTGGTATTAGTAACCAGTTGGAGTTACAACTTAGGCATACTACTAAAAGTTCAATGATATACATTCAATTAGTAAGGTCACCTTTACTAAAGCACCCAAGGAACTAAATTCCCTTTGCAGCATCATACTTCTAATACAGCTAAGGAAATTTCACAACAAAATCCCAGAAGAGTTGCCAAAATTAAGCTTGTCGCAATTCAACTAGCATTTTTAACCATTGCATCGAAATACAAGCGTTTTAATGCATCTTACTTTAAATACATCAAACCAAAAAAGCACTCCATTTGGAAGATAAAGTTAATTCATCATGGAAACACAAAACGGTTTAGTTTCAATTTTTTGCCCTGCAAAGTGCTCCTCTAAGTTGATTGATAAAAAGAAAACATGAAATGAATTCTACAAACAAGAGTATTATAAATATGTGCCACGTGCCACAACAAGAAAATTTAAAAACCCTCTTCACCTAGGGGGGATGCAGAGAACAAAAGAAAACTTCACGGCTCCCATGGGAATCAATTGCTACCAGCAGCTGATCGTGTTAAACACAAGCAGTTTCAAGTCACAACCATGAAATCTCTTGGTGCATTCTCCCACGAAAACTATAAATCACAGCCCTAAAATCAATTAAACTAATTCGCGTTATGTGAAGACCAAGTGGAATCACCTTGATCTTCTCTTCCCCAGACAAGCATACGTATAAACCACCATGCGATTGAATTCCATAAAAGCACAGTAATAAACTTGGCTTGTAAGAGTTGGATGCAAAAGGCTGAGTCAAGTTTCACGTTGATCAATTTCAATAACATAATAAACAACAGTGTCTTCCTTTTACCCTAATGAAATTGCCCCTGAAATTAATATCCACATTTTTGCATGCATCTAGGATTTCCATTTTCCTTTAGTGCAGGAAGCACCGAGGCGGCCCACACTATAAACAATGAAAACTCACAAGCAGGTGCAAGAGAAACAGAAATATTTCAAGTTTACAGATTCAAAAGCCAAAATGCCTCCTTGGGAATGAACAACATTTATGTCCCCAAAAGCTATATACTCTAGCTCCTTGAAACGAATTCCATTAGCACTATTTGAGAAAGAAACCATTGGATTCAAATATCACAAATGAAGGTCCACATTTTACCTAATCAGCCTAATAAGAACAAAAAACCACCTACAAGAAGGTAATTTATCAGAGAAGCATCAAATTGCCACAAACCCAATAACTAAACTCACAGAAATCTCAATTAAACAAACCAGCAATACCCGCATCAAGAATAATCAAATCATACCATTAAGAACACACATTTTGATAGACACATACATTACCTTTGACCGTCAAGGTTGCCCTGTCCACTGCTGCCACCACTCCCATACGACCCATCATCCGCCGCTGTCTGCCACACCGACTGCCACGCCTGAGACGGCGGCTGCACTCCATAAACTGCAGCGGGGTCTACCGCCGGCCTCCCAATCATCATCCCCCCGGGCCCACCAGCCGGCTGACCCATCGGCGGATAGTAGTACGGGACACCACTTGCCGTGGCCCCCACCATCCCCCCGAGCCCCACCGCCTCGTCCTTGATCTCGTCTCGGGGCACAATATCCACCAAGAAATCGAATATATCGGTCCTGGTAATCGCGGCGGCAATGTCGTTTTTCTGCAAAGTTCGTCGCTTGTTCTCCTCGGCGTGGAGCCAAGAGCGGATTGTGAGCTCGAGGATGAAGAGCTCGCAGGCCTTGGCGAAGAGAACGGGGGCCTCGGCCGATATCATGCGGACGTCCTCATCCGCCTTCATGATCTTCTTGATGCGAGCCAATGGGAGCTGGTGATTCTTAAAGTCGTTGACTTGTTCAATGTCGTGGCGCTGGTAGTTCCAGAACATCTGCAGCTGCTGCTGCTGCTGCTGGAGGAGATGATGAAATGGAGGGGCAGGGACTGAAGATTGGGTTGGTGGGTAGGAGGATTGAGCTTGCTGTTGTTGTTGGGTGGGGTTGGGGGTGGTGGTGGTGGTGGTGGTGGTGTTGGGGTTGGTGTCCATTGGTGGGTGTGGCTTGAGCTTTTGATGGGGTGGGCTGATGAGGAAGAATAGCCAAATGGGTGTTTGTGAGTTTTGGTTTTGGTTTTGGTTTTTGGGGTGAGTGGGAAGGAAGGGGGTTTGATTTGATCAGAGGGATGTGTTGAGATTTGATTTTCAGGGATTTTTGTGGTGGGATTTCAAGGGTTGGAGATGGATATGAGAGAGAGTGAGAGAGAGAAAGACAGGAAGACAGGGATGTGATACAATACAGCCTTGCAGATTCTTTTTTATTGGGCCTTTTTTTGTCTTCGAATAGGCTTGCACCACCTTGATATAAGAGAATAGGCTAGCCAATATAATTATAGGTTACCTGAAAATTATTAAAATAAGTTGCTATTAGGACGTTACGCGGTACACATATGGAACGAATATAATTAAAACGCAAGACGAATTATATGAACGAAGAAAGAAAATATAATGGCTTGCATTTTCCTTTAATTATCTTCAAAAGTACATGGTTATGTGAAGTGCCTCTCACATTATAAAAATTAAATAAATATTTGTGTGTGACGAATGAATGCAATACGAATGTCGTTCATATAGGCGTTGCATTACTTCTACGAGATCTTCCATGCATGAGAACTGAACACGTCGCAGTTGTTTATAAGAGTACCATATTCATGGGAGAAAGAAAAAACCAAAATACAGATACTTTGTAAATCTCATATCATTTCAAACACGTCGCGTCCGTTCATAAGAGCATCATTAATGAGAGAAAGAAACAACCAAAATACATATATTTTGTAAGTTTCATACTTTCATTTCATCGTCTATTGGTGTGAGTGGAAATTCAAATTCTAGATTTGTCTCACATTTTTTAAGTAAAAAAGTTAAATCCCTTTCTTTAACCAAAGTCTACTCTGCATTGCACCAATTACAGTTTGAGGCAATCAGGAATCAAAATAGAACCTGCACATTTATGTGTGTCGTCTATTTAAAAATAGATCTATAAGTCAATGAACTAAAGCAAACACATTTTTTACTTGATGGCACCTAAGCCACTCAATTACCCATATTTAGAATTATAGGCTTTAAGCCTATACCCAAATGTTGTTGACTTGACTGATGCCTGTTGTCCCTTACTTTATAGAATATATTAAACAATGCTGCTTATTATAATATAACAAAAATGAGAATGTCCCTCCATATATAATATAATAAGAATGAGAACATCCCTACTGCTTCATGCCAGCCAGGGATAGAAAATTGAGAGTTTCACTAAAACACTCAAAATGAGAGCTGAAATTATAAAAAAATTCAACACCCACAACACTTTATAAACACACTCAAAACCCATCATTACACACACTCAAAACTCATTTATAAACACACCCAAAAAATACAATTGTTGATTTTGGGTGTGTTTCTATGTTTAAATAGTGTTTAGGTTTTTTTATAAATACATGTCTAGGATTGGGTTTATTTATAAATTTGTATTAAGTAAATTCCATATGTATAACCGTGATAATACCCAACTTTGCCTCCTCTAGGCCTATACCTTATTGAAGGGTTTTAAAGTGTTGGTGCTTATAAACCATGAAAGGAAACTACTCCCTTTCAATGTGGGACTATGTGAAAGTGTATTTTCCTATATAAACTCTAACAACCATTCCTAATGTTCAATGTGTTTGCTATGTTACCAGAGACTTCGCCTATCCTAGACCACTGGCTATGGCTGTAGTTCAGGTCATCATGGCAATCAGGCTCTTCTATTATGCTGTGGGGTTGCCAGGGCAAATATATGTGACAACTGTGTTGATAGGGCTAGGGTATGGTGCTCACTGGGCAATTTTGCCAGCTGCAGCTTCAGAGCTATTTGGCTTGAAAAGTTTTGGGGCCCGTATAATTTTCTTACAATGGCAAATCCTGCTGGTTCTCTTATCTGCTAGTGGTATATACGACCACTACGCGAAGGAACAAGCTGCACTCAGACACCATGACTCGGCTGAGATGATGACTCACTCAGTTGTGTCGGTACTATATGCTATTCCCATTACTTGTGGAATACTCTCAGGACTTTGCATTGTTGCAGCTGCATTGAGTTTAATTGTTGTTTACCGGACTAGGAGGGTTTTTACGAAACTCTATGGATCGCGCGGTTGAGCTGTGAAAGCAAAGGGCAAGTGGATATCTCCTGTCAGAAGAATGAGTCTGAAAGGTTTTTCATCCCTATGATATATGGCTGGAGTCTTTCTGAGGGTAAGAGAGTCTGAGGCAAACATTTCTGCTGCACCTATTATCACAAAAGCCGCTAACCAGCCATCTAGTACATCTAAATTATTATGCCATTGTATTATAAATCCAATCCCTCTGTAGGCATTCTTCTCTGAACATGAAATGAAATTGTTTTCTTGTCATGGCGCTGTAGTTTTCCCAAATTTCTTTTTCCTATTACAACAGAAGAGCAATGCCGAAGATCTGCAGGATATACCATCCGACGGATTACTTTATGCCAGTACATAGGTATTTTTATTCATGCTATGTCAACAATACAGGTGCAGAAATTGAATGAATCTATTGTCTACAAATCCTTTTTGACTGCTTTGATGTTTACCCTTAACTTCTGTTAAGAGTTTCATTTTTGTCCAACCAAAGAAAAAGCTGTTATTACGTCAACATGAACAGCTTGAGCTTGAAAAAGCTGAAATTCTGAAAGAGCTGCCAAGACATTTCCAAGACAAGAATGCCAAAGCACTTTGTGTATAATTCAGAATTCTTATCGAAACGGAGGAAGTAACATAATGGTAACTAAGCCTTCATCATAAGAACAGAGGAAGTGCACTAGAATGTGAAATGGAATTCTGTGATCGACATCAGATAATAATATCATGTTATTCAGCATCTGTAATAACATTGTCCATATTATTAACTTGTCACTTAAATCCAGTCAATTTTAAAAACTTTAGTTTGTATTTGTAATTCAAAATTACAAAATGAAAGACAATTTCTCTCTTTCACACACACACCAAATTCATATTTTAGACTTCACGTCCTTCTCGTTGTATTGATATGATTGATTCTCCCCTCGTACCTTCGTACGTAGTTCTCTTAAAAATAATAGTTATTACTTTACACACATACGAAAACAAGAAACCAATGTAATCATTATCTGTGATTTCCTCATTTGGGTTGGTCTAATAAGGCAATTAGTTCCTACATATCTTTGAGAAGTTTTGTTGGTTCCACTTGACCATGAATGAGATTTTCTTGGTCAAATGAAATGTCTTAGAATATGGGAAGAATCTAAATACATGCGTATCTAGTCAGGACCTGAGGTGGTATGCATCAGATTATGGTAGTATAATTCTCCTTACTTGTAATGGTGCTGTTGCTGTTGCCAAAAAATGAATAAAATAAAACAAAATTACAAGGAATGTAATATCCACCCATATTTTCAAAAAGAAACCTTACTATGACTTCCACAATAAAAGTTAAATTGAAAAGGAAAAAACTAGTCAGTTATTATTTCTTTTTTAATCAATGGGGAGAAATGATTCGAATTTAGACATCTTTCAATAGTGGAAAGAAATATCACTAATTAAGAACTTGCTGGTAACTTTTCATTGTATTTACAAACTTACGTAAGATGCTAAAGTGTTGTGTCACTAGATGAGACTCATTTGTTATTCATTTAGTATTAGTACCGTTGTGTGTAACTTCATTAACTTTTACAAGCATTTAGTCTTTTAAAAATTATTAAAATTTTAATTGTATATACCCGTCTTAGCTATCGACTAATGTACTTTAAGAGCTTATTCTAGAATAGATACACCATGCAATTTTTGAAACGATTAGAATGTGACCAAGAGGAACATTGTGAAATAAAATACCTAACAAAATAAAATAAATTGAGGTAAAAATATGGCAAACCAAAAATTAATTCTTGGTATTATCTAATCAAAATTTCCATGTTTAGGGAAAAGTAATTATGGATGGAAATGTAGCAACCCTGTAAAGCAGAATAAAATTGACCATGGTTAGGGTTTTAACCATAGGCCGAAAAATGGTTAGGTGTCATGATTAACAAAAATATTTATATATATATGTGTGTGTGGATATATAAATATTATATTGTCATGCAAACTCTCCTCTGGAATTGAAAGAAATTCACCAAAAAAGAAGGGAAAAAAAGAAGAAAAAAAAAAACCCCGGAAATTGAGATTGTTTAAGTTTTGATCAGGGCAATCGGGGCAAACATAAGAATTTTGTTGGGAATTCATCAATGGCGTCTCTGCGATACGAATATTTGAAATGGGTAAATTTCATACCTCTTTTATATATCTGTTTCTTTATGGTTTTCACTGTGCCCTGTATGGAATATTATTTTCCTTGTCGTTGCTTCCGTTAGATTTTCAGTAATGCTATAGACTTTCTAGGGTTTTAACCAAAACTACTGAAATTGGGCAGGTTGAATGTGTAATTTGAACTATCATTGGTAGCTAATTCTGATTGTTTGCATGTCTCTATGAGATTGTGGGTTTGTCTATTCTATCAGATTTTAGTCAATTTAAGAACTGTATATATGTTTTTGTTCTTAATTCTCCAAATTTGGAGAATTGGTTTTTCTGTTTGGGATTGTTTATTTATTTGAAGTGTATGATAACTGAGATTCTACTTCTAAGAGAATTGTCCTCTGGTTTCTGAGAAACCGTGAGGAAGGAGAAGTTGGAATTCAACATTATCCTTACACCCTGCGATCTGTTCTTAGTTTTGCCAGCATTTTTCAGGAACAAAACTGCCATTGTTTTTTTTTCCTTCTTTTTTCAAAACTAGCTATTGTTGATTGTATCATCTCTGTGTGATTAGTGTATGAATGTGAAATGTGGCTGGCATTGCAATCAGGTTAACCTCAATGTAGTTTTGTCTATCCATCCAGTGCTTATTTTGGAAGTTGAGTGCTGTAACTTGTTAAATTTCAAGGATTCTTGATTTCCCGCGTATTTCGGTTGATTGAATTAGTATTCTAGATTTGAAGGTGTTAAAGATTCTGTAACTGATGTTTCGGAGGAAGTAGCTCTTTTTTTCTATGTTTGTATTTGTATCTTTGATTAATCATGGCCATATTGCTCAACTAATCCTCGCCATCTTTATTTAATATCTTAAATAAATTGGTTTCCTTATTGTGGTTTTTCTGTTTTCCGGTTGCAGCTTCCACAATCGAAAGTAACTTCTTAATGATGCGCGAAAATATCGGGTGTTAGATAAGAAGTAATACCTGGATTGACTCTTGTCCATAAC